GAAAATTGCAGCCGAGGTACCAAATCTTTCACTTATTTGCAGATTTTGCCCAAATCTTTAATTTATACCACCCACGGTACCGAACCTCTCAAAATGAGCACATGATGTCCGAATGGATGATTTCTGTTAGTTTGACCGTTAGTTGACCGGTTAATTGACATTGACTTTAATTTTAAAAGGTTAAAATGGTAATTTTACACTTTTTTTAATAATAAAATAACTAAAATCAAATAATTAAAATCCAAAAACAAACATCTTCTTCTCCATTCACCCCACACATACCCACCCCAAAAAATCACCACCACTACCGGATGGCACCCACCCAACGCCGACACCATTTCCATCTCCTCCACTGCCACCTTCATTCCCATCGCCCAACAAATTTTTTCTTCCCCAAATCTTCAAACCCCAACATATTCAACGAGATTTTTATTCGGATTATTATGAACTGCAATTATATTGAATGCTTCAGAAGCTTGTAGAGCAGCACTGGAGAAGAAAATTGGATCATAGTTAGAGCTAGCAACTTTAGAAGATCTGCTCATTCCGAGTTATTCATTTTTGAACAAAACAATATACGATGTTGATTGTGTGGAAAGAATTTTGAGATATTTGCTTGAAGATTTAGAGGACAGGTCTGCGAATAAAATTGAAGGCGAAGGAAGATCTACGGCATTGATTTTAGTTGGAAAATTGATTGACGGTTCCTTATTGGAAATCGCATCTGACGTTAATTTAAAGCAAGAAAAATTCTTCGATCTCGCCATTGCTTTGCCTGACCATGCCAAACTCTTCAATGACGGCCTTTTATCGCGTCGTTGATGTTTATCTCAAGGTGAATTCGTTGAATTGGCATATTGAGGGAAAAAAATTGCTTTTTGTTGATTGAGGATTTGAATGTGCAAGTTATTTTCTGTTCATTTACATAGGCACATCCATGGATACCAGAGGCAGATAGAGAGAAGTTTTGCGGAGTTTTAGATTGCCATAAGCGAACATTAGAGGCGTGTACTCACGTCGCCCCAAAACGAGCGGCTCCCACTTAGAGCGTGGTTTAGGTGAGAAAGAAAGTCATTGTGCCCAGATTTGGGGAAGAAAAAATTTATTAGGTGATGGGAATGAAGGTGGTGGTAGAGAAGATGGTGGTGGCGCGGGCGTTGGGTGGGTGTTGTTCGGTAGTGGTGGTGATGGTTTTGGGGCATGGGTGGGGTGTGGGGTGTGGGGGGGTGCGTGGAGAAGATGATGTTGGTTTTTGGTTTTTAATTTTAATTATTTTATTATAAAAAAGTGTAAAATTACAATTTTAACGTTTTAAAATTAGTCAAAATTAAAGTCAATGTCAATTATCTGGTCAACTAACAGTTAAACTAATAGAAATCATCCATTTGAACCTCGTGTGCTAATTTTTGAAAGATTTGGTACCGTAGGTGGTACAAGTTAAATGTTTGGACAAAGTCTGCAAATAAGTGAAAGGTTTGGTACCTTGAATGCAATTTTCCCTACTAATTATTGGATTGTTAAAAAAGAGAACAAAATGAATGTAGCAGACATAGATACGATAAAGATGTATAAGACAATACACTATAATGGATTAAATAAGTGAAGATAAAATCAAATAAGTTAACACAAATTATGTAGAAATTTCAGGAAGCAATAACTTAAATGGAAAGGGTGCGTTTTCCATATGCCTAAAGAAAGTTTTAGTTGAAAGAGCAATGTGATGTAAGTAGAACGCAGTGAAAGAGAAAGAAAGACCCCAAAGGTCACAGGCCAAAGTTGCGAATTTTCCAACGTGCTTATGAAATTATCACCACTTCTTTCCACCAAAATAAGAAGACAAGAAGGAAGGTGTCCTACCTACCCCCACCCAAATGCATATCAACATTTTCCAACAACTCATGTCTTCAAAAGGCTTAAATTATGTGTAATTATGTCATTGTCAAGTCCTTTTAGTTTTTTAATTACAGGTGACAATATCTCAGTTGATCAACAACTATAACATATTCCTGTCATGGATGGATGACCAAATCAGCTGTCTTTTTTTAAAATTTTGGCCTAGTGGTAAATCACACGACAAGCATTGTGGGAAACGGACCACCAAACATGCAAAGATAAATTTCGACAATAAATATCTGATCCGAAAGTCATTGCGTAGCACAAGTAATCTTCTGTACCAAAACACTGAAAGTGACTGAATTTATTTATTTATTTTTTTAATTCCGAGGAGAGGAAGACTAGTCCTAATTGAAGCAATGTTATGTTGACATTTCAAATTTCCTATAACAATGTTATAATCTAAAATTGAGTCAAGGTAAAATATTGCTATGCAAAAATGTGCAATTGAATGAAAAACAAAAATTGAAGGCAAAATTTAACTTGAAGAGACAGACTAACAAAGTGCTAGGCAATCACTGCCCTCCCAACATATCTCGGAAGCTTTACTGGTCGGAAGAGTACTATAAAGAGTAAACATGATTTTAGTTTTTGCCTCTTATTTAGTCCGTCTAGTTCAGTATATGTTAAATGCATAGTAAACATGATTTTAGCTTTTGCCTCTTATTTAGTCCGTCTAGTTCAGTATATGTTAAATGCACTTCATGTACACTTCTACAGTCGAGAGCGGAAATCAGCACCACCCAATCATTCCTAACCCGATACTTAACGAATTGCTAATCTGGTCACTCTTTAACCCGAATACTAACTCACACCACCTGACCATTTCCTCGTTCAATGCTTCCAGAATTGTTAATCTGGGCCATTCTTTAACCTGAATTCTAACCTGCTCACCCCTAATCACTCCAGTCCCCACCATACATAAACAAAATGACAAATGCAAACCAGCAAGCAATTTCTGACAACTCAACTGCTACACGATTGTGCGGTACATTCTCCTTTATATCTTGTACCCCCATTCAAAGAAAACAATCTGTGATTCGATCTTCAACAGGTAATTATAAGAAATGCCTCGCTTTCCCTTTTTAAGCAAAAAATAATTAATGAAATGAATTCATGGAGATCGTGCATAATGCACTCATTCGACAGAAAATTTTACGGGACAATTCTGTGCGAACGAAAACACAGAGTGGCTTGTTTTTCATTTTCCACTTACCAGTTGCCACTAATAGACTAGTGCATGAAGACCGATGATTTATCAAATGGTAAGACGAGTTCATACAGATTTAACAAAATTACACACATAAATACATATAGAGAAAGAGATAGAAGCATGCATACCGATCTTTCTGGTATTGGTGTTGGTGAAGAGATACATGAGAAGGTGAACAGTTCTTAGGCTAAAGCTCTGATTATACGAAGATAGCGCTCTCTGGAGTTCCTTATCATCTATAAGCCCACTGCCATCCTGATCGGCTACCTGGAAGCAAGCAATCACGTTGGGATCGGTGCCAGGCGGGAACGTGGAGGGCACAAGTGAGGCAAACGGGCTACTTCCGTACGGAGCAGAAGGCGGTGGAACAGGGTGCCCGCCATAGTACTGAGGTGCACCATAGGGAGCAGGGGGCTGACCATGTGCATTGGGGTTGTCTTTTGGGGGTTTGTTGTGAGGAGCTGAGGGGGCGGAGTATGGGGTGCCTACAGGTGCGTAGGCTGAGGATTGGCCTGGTTGTGGCGGCCCTGATGCCGGAGCACCGTAGGGGGCGGAGGAATAGGTCTGAGAAGGCGGTGCGCCGTAGGGGTAGCCGGACGGATAATTATGCTGACCTGACATGTTTTAGTTGTGTGTGAGAAAGTGCGCTCAGAGATACCTTTCTGTCCGTGGAGACGTCGATATTTATATAGCGGTATAAGAAATATGGGTTTTGAATTGAGAAATATTGCTAATTTGCCACTGGAGACTATCTTCTTTGAACAAATTGCACTACTGGTCCTCAATTTATTATTACAGTAGCCAGATGATCTTATTCTTTTAAAAAAGAGTTGGTCGGTCCAATGTCTTCCATTGGTCATCAATGAACAATGGCGTCTAAGTTTCAAGTTATTTTGTGAACCTCATAGAAATATGTCCAACTCTAATTTTCTGGACACTAATAAAGGTAACAAAAAACCTAGCTTCTACAATGGCACATGCAAAACTAGTGCGACAATTCAATAGAGGTTTAGGAAATTTCTGCGGTTGACGATTAATTGTGCAATTAATAAATTATTGAAAATGTGCAAATGAAGCAATAATCAAGGACCAGTAGTACATTTTTTCATCTTGCCCTCAGTTTTGTGGGGGACCCTCTAGAAATCATAGTCTATTCAATATGCACAGGTGCACCTTAACCGCTTTGACAAGTAATGGATTAGCATTAAAATGTTTGGGAAATGCTATGTATCCCATAATGGTATCCATAATAGACACATGGAATCCCCTTATTGGGGGGCGCCTGACTTGACTATAGATTAGACACTATTGTCTTATAAAGCTATTTGGAGATCTCAAATGTAAATAATCTACTAGCATAACCCTGAAAAGTTAAAAAGTTGGTGTTGTTCTAAGATTATTAACGTTTAGTAGATTATTTACGTTTGAGATCTCCAAATAGCTTCATAAGACGATAGTTTCTAATCTATAATCAAGTTACAATAGTATAAAAATGAGTTAAAAAGATGCAAATAGTTTGAAGTATTTGTTCTATCTTGACCTGGAGTAGAAATTACTAGCGTATTCTTTGACAAAAGTAAAGAGTCTTAGTAGGTGAGAAATAAAATAAAGTGATGGTAATTCAAATATTATATCAAATGAGTAATTGACATCAATGGTGTGTATGCTAAGCTATATTAAAATATAGATAATTTTTATCATATTTGGTGTTTGGCGTGGATAATACTTGAATTAAATTATTCAATCAAGTTACCCTATCGTAACCCAACTGGATAACTTTTATCGCTATAAATAGATTAGTTAAGATTGAATATATATGTGGTAATGTAGAAACACGTCTTAAATAATATAAAACGACAACACTTACCTAGGAGTGTTGAATGGGCAGGGCGAGGCAAGGCCACTGCTCGCTCAACTGAAGTTTGGCATGGGTCGTCAATATATATATCCTTTAAAAAGATAAATATAGGACAAAAATTCATTAATTTAAAGAGTGATATCATTTGAGCTTATTCATTTCAATTTTGAAGAACTTCTTTTTACTTTTAAGCAATACATGGAAGAATGAATCGGTAAAAAACTTATGATTGCACCAATTATATTGAAGATGTTTCAAGTGTTACTTTCAAAAAAAAAGTTCACATGAAATCATTAGTCATTCACCACAAGAAGGATCAAGGTCATACTAAATATGGTTAGGGCTTGTTTGAGTCCCATTTTTTTTTTTTATATAATGCATTTTAGAATTAGATTGATGGAGAATATATGGTTAAAAATGAAGGAATTTTTTTTTATTGTGTGTAATATTACTTTGTTGAAGAATGTACGGTTGAAAAGAAAATAGTGAAAAATATATTTTGAAAAAAAAGGGAACAAACAAAGTGTAAATAGAATTTGGAATTCTCCTACAATCTGCCAAGTATGCTTCTTAGCCTTATTGCATAAGATAAAATGAAAACCATGTACAAGTGGGTATCATTATATAGTTCCATGACCTCTTAGTTCCACTTTAAAGATGACTCTCACTTAAATCTTTTCTCCATTAGATTTATCGTTAAAGTCAAATCTACGTTGGTAAAAAACCTAACTGTATCAGGAAGTGCAATTTAAAGAAATTTGGGTTCCAGATAGAAGTCCATGTATGATATGAATAATCATAAATGGACTTGGGGGATTATTGTTGTTATGCCTCGTCACTTAGGGACCCACACTGGACATTTGATCCGTTGAAGCACCATGTGGCATCCGACGTGTATATAATTTAATACATTCCAGAGAATTTGACCTATCGAAGCCCATATACTAAAAGACAAGTTCGAGGCCCAAACGAAATTGCTTTGTCGAAGTAACGATGCCCATTGAAGGAAATTGTGAAGCTATTACAGCTGGTGACGATCCCTGTTGGAAGATCTTATGTTTATGAAATCCGTTTAGAATGAGTGATTGAATTGTTGTAATAAGTAAAAATGTCAATCTTATTAGTATAGGGTATGGGGTGACCACCTCATTTTTAGGGCATTTAATGCACCACAAGCTAGTGAGTCAAAATTGATACCTAAGATGTGATGTTTCAGTAAAGGAGATGAAGCCACAGTCCTCTTATTTAACGATTACGATTACACATGTAACACTATAAATATCCCCCCATTTGTGCCTTGGGAGAAATGAAAAAGTATTTTGATTACAAATCATATATATACTCATTCTTTGTGATTAACATAGTGCTGATAGCGTTAGAAGTGCAATCTTGATTGTAAGTCTGATTCTTGATTTATCGTTCATTATTGTGTAAGTTATATTTTTTGTTGGAGTCTGAACATTTATGTCTTGTGTTATAAAACTCCTCCCACATTTACACATTATATTGTCGATAGACAATCTTTCCACATGTATCGAAATTAGCTTGAGAAAATGCGATTTGGCTGGTATTTGTTGTCCACATCAACTGTGCGAAAACGAGGTCAATAAAACCCTTATCTATATCAAAGATATAAAATATATAACTAAATTTGATGTAAACTAATTTTGAAGTAAAAGTATTGTTATATCTCATTTACATATATAAGAAATGTCGAAGTAAACAATTTTATATCGAATTTACCCTCCCTCTGTAGTTAGGTGAAAATTATCCTGAAGTAGGAAAATGTAATTATACCATAATTCAATCAACAAGATTATAAAACAAAAAACTGGGCTATAGCCGCAGATTAAGATGGATGAACTATTTGAAGTCTCCGAAAAAGCCCAAAACGAAATCCAAAGAATCCACGGCTCAACAAGTTAATGGCAAGCCAAAAAAGAAGCAAGTCAATAAAAATAAATAAATAAATAAAAATCCCTACAATATATAAAAGAGGAGAGTTGGTTACTATTCATAAGTCATCATCCTTAGCTCACGATGATGTCATATACATGTATTTATATCCTACAATAATAATAATATAAAAAAGGAAAACAGTGTCGTTTCGATTTCTTATAGACAAAAAAAAATTCTTTTGCACGCAATACTCATCTCTCCAAGGACTGACACTTCACACGCAACAATCACGTCCATTCTTTTGTTAGAATCACCCGTATCTTTACTCCACCGTTTTCCTAGACAATCATTCATATTTCCTTTCTTCTTCTCTCTGTTCATCTTCTTTCTCCCAAGAATGAATATAAGATGTGCTTAAAGCCGATTTTTGTCTTTAATAAACCCTAAAAACTCTCTCGCTCAATCATTGTTGTTCCTTTGTGTAGAAATTTAAATATATTTTTTACAAGCATAACTTGTAATTTTCTCATTTCTTGAATATCGAAGTGATTGTAGCTGATGAGTATTTTGTATTTTGTTATTTATGCTTCTATAAGTGAAATTAATTTCTCCATTTTATTTATTGTGTGTTCGCGTGTCAAAACGTGTTTCTTGATTACAGTTTAGCCTTTTTGCCTCTTTTTGAAAATCCAATTGCAATTTTATTTTTTGCTTTTCTATTTTTAGGATTCGTTGTGTGAAGGAGTAATTTCACTTCTTTTACATCAAAATGTATGCATTTCATCTCTTTTCTGCTTCAGTACATAGCGTTCATATTCTTCATTTTTTCCTCTAGATTTTGGGTTATTGTTCTTTTCTCTGTTTCTTTGATTTCTTCGAATGATTTATCTATTTCGGTTTGTATTGATTTTGTTAGCTAAGTTTTATGTTGTTAGTTTATTTTATTCAGATGGGTTATTATGGATTTGCAGAAAAAGATGATATTATGAAAATTTCAAGTCGAATGAGCTATCTCTTGTATTTGAAAGCTTTATATTCTGTCGGTTGATAATTTGGGAATTTAGGATATGAGAATGATGATGGCTGTTAGACCCACTTTTTGTTACTGAGTGCTCGTTTGGTAAATATTAAAATCTAATTAAAATTGAAAATATAACCGTTATTGGGTCTCACTCATCTAATAAAAGTCAATAATAATGACTAATTTTTCAATTTTAATTCGATTTTAATCTCTACCGATCACGCCCTGAATCTCGTGTGGACGTGGCTAAGATACTTGTATATGGCTTTGCTGAATTTTGGATTTATAATTTGCTTGAACTAAAAGGTGCTCTCATTAAGTTACTTGGAAGATTGCAATTTTTAAACTATGAAAGTATAAAAGCTATTTTCCTTTAGACAAACAACAAATTAAGTTTTGTTCTCAATAAATTTAAAGATAGCTACATGAAATGTTTTTTACGTGTTTCTTTGGTGATTTATAGACCTCAAACTGTTGCAATAGGTTGTGTTATCTATTTTTCTCTGTTAAGTTATTACAATCTTTCAAGTTTGCTAAGTCATAGTCTTGTGTTCAAAGATGAAGGAATAAGGACTTGGCATACTAGGGAGATGATAGTGATTTTTTATGGCTGTATTTGTGGAGTTTAATGATAGTTATATGTATTATGCTTCTTTTGAGCTTTCAAGATGTGCCCAATTTGGAACTTCTGACGCTATTTGCATCCAAAGATTATGTGTGTATTTATGTTATGAAAATTTATTTATTAATTGGTTTTGTTAAGTTCGTAAAGTTTCTATCCAACTACTATCAAAGACGTTACTTTTGCTATTAGTGTTTTGAAGATAGCATTATCATAATTGC